GATAGCCCGTTCGAACAGATCGGATATCAAATGGGAAATTTTTTGATAGCCCGTTCGAACAGATCGGATATCAAAAGAGGGAAGCAGTAGTATACGATGCTATAGGACTAGCTGTAGGCCACATGAGCAGCGAGGCGAAATCCCGATAGTGTTTTCGTAGTTGTGGTTGCAACCTTAGAAGTTGGGCATCCTTATCATCATTATCCATAGAAAAGTTATCGTCATATGAAATGTGAGAATCAGAAGAACTAGATTCCACAGGCAGTTGATTGTCTTCTGTGTTTTCATTGTTTGGATGGTTTCATACTAATACAGTGAATATATGTTTGCATAGTAATTGTTGTGATTGAAAATCATGACAATTACAAATATAGGAGGAAACATCAAAGCAATTTTCATCCATTGCAGAATCTTTCTTTCTAACTGAATACTTCATGTTGTTATTTGTTAAAGAATATATGATCCACATATTAGACTGAATATTATAAATATTATTATTATTAATATGTATAACCCTTGCATTTTCTCGAATACACTGTTGGCACTGTCGCAGATTCATCCTGCCAATTTTTAATTTGTTCAGGAAAACAGAAAAATTCATATCATGAAGCACAACCTTCACGAGGAGATGAACTTCACTATCAAGTCATCTGCCTTTAAGGACAGAAATCAAAATTAGTAAATTAATTAAATAAAGAATAATGATAATAAAAATAAATAATAAATATATAAATAAAAAAAAACAATAAAAAAACTCACCGATTATAAAAAAAAATAAAAAAAATAACCTAAAAACAAATAATAAAATTTAAAAACAAACCGATTATAAAAAAAAAAAATAATTAAAAAAAACAATTATAGAAATAAATAAATAAAATAAAAAAAAAATAAGAAAATAAAAAAAAAATGAAAAATTAAAAAAAAAAAGCAAAAAAAACTACTCAAGTTATAAACTTACCTAACATCAAATAATAAAAAAAAAAAAAAATAATAAAAATAAAAATAAAAAAAAAAAAAAAAAAAACTCACCGATAATAAAAAAAAATAAGAAAAAAAAAACAAAATCAAAAATTAAAAAAAAAAAGAAAAAAAACTGATTATAAAAATTTTTTTTTATTTCTACCTGGTCACCCTCAAGTAAATATATTTTAGTTTGCAATAGAATAATTCGATTAAATTATTTATATTCATCATGTCCCGAGAAATCCCTCTTATACAAATCATCACAATTTATACTTTGGCTTTCATTAGCATTCGAAATAATTGGCAAAATTATTAATAGTCTCGACTCTCATTTCTTTCTATTGGTTAATTGCATCTACAATCTGTGCTTGAGCATCAGCATCAGTCTATTCTTTCCCTTTTAGAAGCTGCCAGTATCATCTACCATGAAAATATCCAGTTTCCATCCTTCATTTTCATGTTTTAAAAAATCAAATCATTCTGTTAATATCGTCGTTTATTTAAATTCACTTATCAAGAACATGATCAGATACCCACTGCCTACTACTGGATGTCTAATAACGAGGGTGAATAGATGATATCCATGATGGTTCATTCCATGAGTTCTGTTCAAACATATGACTCTTGCGAACTCTATTAGTTCTTTTTGCTTCTTAGTTTAGAATATAAACATGAATTTGATATTATTTGCTTCATTATATTTTCTATATAAGCAAGCCCTGTCCTTACTGATTATCTTACTTTCCTACATTTCTAACAAATGAAATTCATTATTGTTAAAATAGGCAGATACTTTTAGCATATTGTAAACAATTACATAGATATCATTTCACGTTATTAATCTATCCCAAAGTGCTTGTACATTCTGTGAATAGCCTTCAGAGTTAAGCGAATACACCTAAATAAGGATTATAAATATGCAATTAAAATTAATAAAAATTAAGAGAAAATGTTTTTTGTGCATCTGCATAATCATGCATCCCTATATAATTAGCCAGTAAAATTTAATTGTATATTTTAATAATCGTTCTGATTTTGTTTTGTTGCTTTTGTTTTGCTTTTGTCACTTTTGCTGCTTTTGCTTTTGCTGTTTTTGCTTTGCTGTTTTTCTTTTGCTACTTTACTTTGCTGCTTTTGCTTTGCTATTTTTGCTTTGCTGCTTTTGCTTTGTTGCTTTTGCTTTGTTGCTTTTGCTTTGCTGTTTTTGCTTTGTTGCTTTCACTTTGTTGTCTTTGCTTTGCTACTTTTGCTTTCGCATATTATTCTTTTCACTTTCCTTTTTTTGCTTCTTTTCACTCCTTTTTCTTTACTTTGTTTCTTTTTTTCGCTACTTACTTTTTTCACTTTTTTTTGTTTCTTTTTTTTAGTTTCTTTTTTTTTACTTCTTTGTTTTTACTGCTTCTTTTGCGTTTCTCTTTTTCGCTCTTCTTTTTTTTCTCTCTTCTTTGTTTCGTTTTTTTTTTTTTTGTGTTTTATTTTTTTTACTTTCTTTTTCACTTCTCTTTTTTTCTCTTTTTTTTTTTTTTTTTTTTTTTTCGCTTTTTTTTTGTTTTTTTTTTTTTTCTCTTTCTTTTTTCCCCTTTTTTATGCTCTTTTTTGCTCCTTTTTCTTTACTTGCTTTGTTTCTTTTTTTTTCGCTACTTACCTTTTTTCACTTTGTTTTTGCCTCTTCTTTTTCACTTCTCTTTTTCGCTCTTCTTTTTTTTCTCTCTTCTTCGTTTCTTTTTTTTCTTTTTTTTTGCACATTATTCTTTTCGCTTTCTTTTTCCTCTTTTTTTTGCTCTTTTTCGCTCCTTTCTCTTTACTTATTTTGTCTCTTTTTTTTCATTACTTACTTTTTATCACTTTTTTTTCGTTTCTTTTTTTCAGTTTCTTTTTTTTCACTTCTTTGTTTTCGCCTCTTCTTTTTCACTTCTCTTTTTTGCTCTTTTTTTTTTTCTCTTCTTTTCTTTGTTTCTTTTTTTTTGCTTTTTTTTTTTTTTTTTTTTTTTTTTTTTTTTTTTTTTTTTTTTTTTTTTTTTTTTTTTTTT